GAAAGAGAGACTCAGGTGCCAAAGGAGGATGAGACAGGAGCTACCGAGCAGGACCTGAGCTCCCCCTGCTCTGCTCCCCATGCGGGAGACTCCTCTTCCTACCCAGACCTCCAAAGCTCCATCCGTGCAAGAGCTCCTGCTGGTGCTTGCTTCCTCCAAGGCTTCCCTTGGTCCCGCTGCCCTCCTTCCCTACTGGCAGACGTGTGATCAGTCCCAGCACTGCTGAGGAGGGGTCACTGGGGACCAAGGTGGAGTCTCCCTCCCATCCCAGCTCCCCAGCCCTCCTGGTGGAAGGGCGAAAGTGGTCCTTGGGCTGCTGTCCACCCATCCCTGAGAAACATCAGTGCCAGCCAAGTATCTCAAAGAACGGGGGGGAAGCTCTTTGGGACTATACTCTCGGATTCCCATAAAATCCCATTGAGTTCGCTCTTCCCCATCCCCGTGTGTGAACCCAAAGACTGGCGGGCAAGTGTCATCGACCAAAAGATGCCAAAGCACAGAATAACCGTTTGTGAACGGCTGCTTTAGTGCAATAAAGAGGGATGAGCAGAGGGGTGAGAGGAGCTGCTGCAAGGTTTGCACGACTGGACTGCACAGGGAAGGAGCACACCATGCCCCAAACTTGCTGTTTCTAGCACCCGCTTTGTTAGTTTGCTCTCTGTCTCTGGCCCTCGGGTGTTTCGAGGAAAGCCGGGAGGTCTTCAGATATTGGAAGGTCTAACTTTTTGTGATCAGCATGTGAGGAAAGTAGGTGAGGGATGTACCCCCCACCCCAAAGCCCATTCTTGGTCTTTAATAGGATCCAGTTCAGCCTTGTCTCCTTCAAGGAGCCCACACCTGCGGGATGCTTGCAGCAGCTGGAAGCTTCTGGATGGCGTCTGGTCCATGTGGGCCAAACCAGAGCTGTGATCTCTTTGGGCTCAGTCTGCTTCGGGGTATTTCTCAGTGAGCGCCGGGATCTCTTGCAAACTCCTTCTCCCAGAGTGCAGGTTGGGAGCTTGCGCAGGTGAGATCTGTTGTCCTGCTCGGGGTGGTGTTGCAGAAGAATCCCCTGAGGGCATAAGCCAGGGAGGCTGGACGGCCCCCTTGCAGGGGGACCGCAGGCAGGAGGGATGTTGGATGGATGGGAGGAGACCACACGCCCCTGTGGGGCAGAGCGAATGTGCGAGTGCCGGGCGAGGGGAAGCGGGGCGAGGTCTCTCGCTGGGTCTCTCTCCTGCTGCACCTTCCTGCAGCACCCCAAAGGGCTTCAGCGTGAGCAGGACCAAACCCACCCTGGTGAGCTGGCCTGGGCATTGGGAGAGGAGGTTTCTCACACCCTCTGTCCCAACGGCAGCATCAGCCGAGAGGTGTGTGGCCATCCCGGAGCCGGCACGGCCGGTCCCCGCCTTGCCCGTGCTGCCGCTCTGCCCCAGCGGAGCCCCTTTCCCCCTTCCCCTCCCTTTCCCCTCTGCCCGTCCTTCCCCAGCGGTTCCCTCAGGCCTTTGCGATGCTCTGCGGACGGGCAGCGGCTCCGCAGCCTCCTGCCTCCCCAGGTGTCCTCAGCACAACGTTCTCCTTCGAAGACGGCTCACCCTTGGCTTCAAAGGAGAGTCTCGTACCAAGAACCCAAGCCTCTAATTCTCCATTTAATTGGTACAAAGGCATTCTGTACAGTGTATAAAGAGATCCCTCCCCCGGCTGTCTTTATTTGGGTTCCTTTCTATAAGGTATAATATATGTTTATAACCTGATGGCTGTTTTTTGACAATACTCTTGTACCTTTTAAGGGAAAAAAATAAAAAAAACCAAAGTATTTATTTGAAAAGTTTATTTTAAAGATAAGAAAAAAAAATAACCTATTTATTTTAATGCACCCTCTTCTGTTCGGTTTTCTTCTCTTGCAAAGCTAATAACTGTTACTGAACCACTGCTGAGATGAAAGAAGTAATTCTATGGGTGGCTTCACAAGCCCACTTAGAGCAACTATTCAATAAAAATATATATTAATTTTGAACGTGGCCTCATTCTTGTCATCGTGATGGCTGGGGCATGACTCAGACTCCTGCTTCGGCAGGGCTCTTACTGGCTGCGGGGTGCTGGGCGGCTGGGCTTGCGCTGGCATGGACTGAGTGTTGGGGGGATCATTTTTAACTCCATGAGACCTCCCCTGGCAGCCCTCTCCTGATGCTTAAAGAAAACCTCAAAAATCTCACTGTCTGCTTCCCTGCTGCGCCTGTCCCAGATCCTTGAGGAAGGGTAGGCCCCTGTAGCAAAGGGCAGGAGCAAATAGGGAGGGACTGAGGTAAGAAATCCCTGAGAGTTGGGGGATTTCAGTCACTCCACAGAGATTCCAGCACATTCCCAAGGCCTTTTCTACCGCCAGAAGAGATGGGGTGATGCCACAGGGCAATGGACATCTTCTGCAGGAGGAGCTGCAGTTTGGACACGGCTGTCTCTTCCCATCAGCTGCAGAAGGCACCTCGGTGATGTGTTTAGCCCCAAAAGGATGAATCTGGGCCATAGCACCAGCGGTTGCTGGACCAGGCTGGTGCCTCTGATCTTCCCGTGCGTATTACAGGCCACTGTTTCATGCACTATTGCACGTACAGAGCCCAGTAACTTCTTCTTGGCTCGAGGGTGTCTTCTG